TTTGTTTATTGTCTATATGTTATATTCATAGGTTGTGAATTTGTTTGTGTGCATGTAAACGTCTTTGTTAAATGCAATCAGTTGGACACTGTATTTGTTCTATGTCTTCTGTTCATGGTCCTTTAAAATTTCAATTTGTTTATATGGCTTTGTTCCTATAGCCCATCTGCTGTTGCAGTGTTGGCCTTTTCTAAGGTAACAAATTTTATTTAAAATGATGAGGCAGCACGTGACGAATGTATGATTGTAACGTTTGGTAAGTGTGTGATCATACTGACCATGTTTGTCTTAAACAGTTCCTATGATAGTATATTAGTACTATATTTCATGTATCTTGTGAACTTAGCTATGTTCTGAATTTTACTAATGTGAGAATCATCAGAATCTTAATTAGGAGATCTTGTGCATTCTTATTTCATAGTCCTTTCACAATTTGATGATCTATTTTTCATTTCTGATTGTGTAGCTTTTGATAATGTGCTATATGTTTGTCTTTATGTTGACTCCTTTATTTTTGTACCTATATGATATATGAATGTGTTGTATTTGCTTGTCACAGGTGTGGACTGTTTCATCGGGTTTTTGCTTTGTAACATTCTCGGAGCACACTAATGCCGTGACTTCTCTTCATTTTATGGCTAACAATCACTGTCTTTTAAGTGCATCTCTTGATGGAACAGTACGTGCATGGGATTTGTACCGTTATAGAAATTTTAGGACATTTACCACCCCTTCTTCAAGGCAGTTTGTCTCTTTGGCAGCAGACCAAAGTGGGGAAGTAATTTGTGCTGGAACTCTAGATTCATTTGAGGTACTAATTTCTTTTGATGCTGCATTGAGACCAATCTGCTTTTTTTTTTTTTTTACCTGACAGGGGGCTTAATTTTTGTTTTCAATAGATATTTGTTTGGTCAATGAAGACAGGCCGTTTATTGGATATCCTTAGTGGTCATGGAGGTCCTGTTCATGGGCTGATATTTTCTCCCACAAATGTGAGTTGTATTTGATAGCTGTATCTGCACTTTCTGGTTATCCATCCCTTATTTTGTGTTAATTCCTCTTGGTTTCTGTGTTTTGTCCGAAGTGGTTTATTTACATGAATTTCTTTTGATGTTTGATCCCCCTTCTACATTTGGCATATAACAAATCTTGGATTCCTGTAAATTAACTAATAGCAAACACATGAACAAATTTGTAAGGTTTATAGTCAGCTTTCATTACCTATTGATTCATGAGTAGCTCTGAAGTAAACCTATTTTGCCTGTAGGCAGTCTTAACTTCATCATCATGGGACAAAACTGTTCGCTTGTGGGATGTTTTTGAAGGGAAGGGAGCTGTTGAAACATTCCCTCACACACACGATGTTCTTACTGTGGTTTATCGTCCAGATGGAAGGCAATTGGCTTGCAGCACATTAGATGGGCAAATTCATTTCTGGGACCCAATTGATGGCTTGTTAATGTACACCATCGAGGGCCGCAGGGATATTGCTGGAGGGCGTCTCATGACTGATCGTAGATCAGCAGCAAACTCAACTGCAGGAAAGTGTTTCACAACCTTGTGCTATTCTGCTGATGGGAGTTATATATTAGCTGGTGGAAGTAGCAAGTACATCTGTATGTATGATGTCGCTGATCAGGTCTGCTTCATTCTTATGTATAACCTCATGCTTATTATTTCACATTTTAATTTGGTAAATGTTTCAAATAGTTTAATTATCTAGTTTTATTATTTCATGAATTTCATCACAATATGTTTCTATCAATCACTGGAAATCTCAAACGTTTTTGTTTTTGCCATGCATAAACTAGTTGAATGTAGACATTAGATTGATAACTATATGGACGTTGGATATACCTTTGAAGGAATGGTATAACTTAATTACCTAGTGGCTTGTTCTTCCATTTTACATTTGTTTGGATGGGTTCCTTGGTCTGCCAGTGTAGATCTCTCTTAATGGTTGAAGTAGTGGATTGATTTATGTATGAACTGCAGGTTCTGCTGCGTCGCTTCCAAATAACTCACAATCTCTCACTAGATGGGGTGCTGGATTTCTTGAACTCCAAGAAAATGACAGATGCAGGTCCACTTGATTTAATTGATGATGATGACTCTGATACTGAAGAAGGTGTTGATAAACAAACTCGAGGAAAGTTGGGGTATGATTTACCAGGATCCATGCCCAATCGTGGAAGGCCTATTATTAGAACAAAATGCCTGAGGATTGCACCCACTGGGCGAAGCTTTGCGGCGGCAACAACAGAGGGGGTTCTTGTTTATTCAATTGATGAATCCTTTATCTTTGATCCCACTGATCTAGATATAGATGTTACACCAGAGGTATCTTGTGTTCTTTTTGTAAAATGCTGTGAAACAAGTAAATCTTTAGTTTTCTTCTCTCTTGTAAGTACTTACCATGGAGAATTCAAAGCATGTTATATAAGGCTATCAGATGATTGGTATCTGCTTAGTTGGAAATAACAAATTTTCTTCGTTGATTTATAGTAGTATTTTCATCTGCTGATTTTATTTGATGACTACAATGGTGTGCAGGCAGTTGAAGATGCATTAGATGAAGATCAACCAAACAGAGCTTTAATTCTCAGCCTTCGTCTGAATGAGGATTCACTAATAAAAAAGTGCATTTTTTCTGTCAGTCCATTGGATATACCAGCTGTTGCCTCCTCAGTCCCATACAGATATCTGCAGAGATTAATTGAAGCATTTTCTGATCTTTTGGAAAGCTGTCCGCACCTGGAATTTGTACTCCGTTGGTGTCAGGTGCTTGCTGCCAACTTATGAAATTCTATGACATCAGAGGTCGTCCTGTATTCAGATCTAATTCTTTGTTTGTGATTATTATTTTGACAGGAGCTTTGCAAAGCCCATGGAAATTCAATTCAACAAAATTCCAGAAATCTTCTTCCCGCTTTAAAATCCTTGCAGAAAGCAATTACTAGAATACATCAGGATTTGGCAGATACATGTTCGTCTAATGAATACATGCTCCGGTATTTATGCTCAAGCACCAACAAATGATGAACCACTATTAGTGTTCGGGATTTCCTCACTATTATCTGACAAGGTAATATAACTTATTAAGGGAGCGGAGCAGGCACGCCCATAGCTAACGCCAACATGCCATGTTGGGATACTTTGATGCAAGGTTCATGTGATTGTAAGCACTTGTTTGTTGGATTTGATCTGTTGTTTGTTGGGAAATGTAACATGACTATGATTCATATACATGTCAAATTGTCATGAACTGTTTTTAATGCAATTTTGTTTCGGGAAAGATGAATGCAGGTCCATGACAATGATTGATGAGGGTTGCTGTATGATATGCTGTTGTTAGACAATCAAGTTAACGGTTCTTGTTGTGTTGCTTCGTGTTATTTCTCCATTGAAGAAAGGCAACTCAACAAAAAGCAAATCACAGGTGGCCAACTAATAACCTATTTCCAGGCTAGTATCTTAGTTTCTGTAACCATTCTTAATGAGTAGTGTCAAATTCATTGACAAATGCATCCGAAGCACGTGCACGTGCACATGCACATCCAGCTAATAACAAAATGACTAATAAATCACCAAAAATTCGCAGGTAAACATGGTACGTTTAGACATAGGCTGCTTTTGGACCTGAAAACAGTATCGCACTTCTACGTTAAGATACGCACACGTTTAGAAATAAGCTGCTTTTGGACATTTAGACGTGCACATGTTTAGATATTGCCAAGCAATGTTAACTGAGGAAAGTTGAAAGAAAGTATTGCGCTCCTATGTTAAGCCATGCATGTGCACTATGACATGGAAGAGATATAGATGGAAGAATCTTCGGTGGCCAAAGAGAGCTAACACTTGAGTTGCTATCATTCCAAAGATCATCACATTGTGAATCACTAATTCCGTGCTTTCTTGACCTGACTAAATCTCAGCTAGGAAATGACCAATCGTTCACGTAATCCCTTTATTTCTTTCAGCGCTGCAATCATGATCTTCTTGTTCTAATTCTTGAGAGAAGTGACCATAACGCTGGTAGAGAAACAATCTTGTTTCGTAACATAGGCTTTGTGAAAGGATCCAACTCAGGAAAACCAATAAAATGCAGAGAAACAATCCTTTGGATTTGCAACAAAACCAATTTCGGCCATTTTAATGTTCTCATGCCCCATGGCCCTTACCCATTCCCAATGTGTCTTTTTTCTAGGCCACCAATGCTCTCCTGGTTCCCACCAAAGAGAAAGGAACTATCTTTAGATCATTCATGCATTTTCTACATGTACGGGCTAATTTAGCTGTCAAGAAAACATTGAATTCAGATTAAAAAACAAGACTTTTGATCACATAATAATTGGTTATGTTCGTAATTTCTAAATTGATTAAATAGCGTCGCAGTACTTATGATAGTTGCACACTATCTATATGATGTTAGAAATTACGAAGGAAAGATTAATGGCTCTATTGCTACTGGAGAATTAGCTTATTAAGGGTACTGTAAGAGCAACATCTTGGCGTTTAAACGTGTATTATGATGTCGAGGAAGGAGATTTGGCTTGTAGAGGAGGAAGAAAAGGAGTCCTATCTTCTTTCTTTAACTTGGAGGTATGATTTTTGGGATGGGAAGCTCAAAGACTAAATGCTTGTTAGTTGTTTTGATGTTGCATGAAGGATTGTAACTCTTCGATGAGGATGATAACAACATGGTGCAAGAAAATACTTAAATAAATGTCTCAACAACAACAAATGAATGAGCATATAAGTTATGAAATATAATTATAATTATCATCATGTAATAATTTTATTATATCCTAGTTTATATCCTCTGCTATTGTTGTGCTTAAATTCATTGCACAAAACAATGATAAATTATAAATAAACAAATAGGCAATACCCTTGAGATAAGAAAAAAAATATGTATCTAAGTCAAAACACGAAGAATATTAAAAACAGAGAGGATAAATTGAAACAAGGATACATAGTTTTGAGTGTTGCTAGCGGCTGTCAAAGTGATGGTCGCTGGCATTCCTTTTTTCATATCTACATTCAAATGCTGAATGCTTCACAACAGAGAGGATAAATTGAAACAACTACAGAATTTGTTCTATTTTCAAAACAAAAGACATCTGAAAGACAATGAAATAAATCGACACCCGGTACTTATTCTTCACTGCATGCTGGCTGTCTCGACAGTTGTGGCTTCATGAGGCTACGTTAAAAGTTATCATTCATTCAGCCTACAGTACTGCTCTCTCTCCAACGGACTATGATATCTTGTCTGGAGTTCAGGGCATCCTCTCTGAAGGTCTGCGCCTAAGCCATATTCTTTCCATGCGATTTTTCCTAAAATGGTTGTTCCCACGAACATTATGATTTCTGCTAAAACTATCATTCTGTCTATGGCTGTTTCGACCATGCCGCATCCTCTCTGGAATATTACTCCTAGAACTGTTGTTCCGCCTAAACTTGTAGGTTCGTCTATTGTCATGACTAGTCCCCATTTCATAGCCTGCTGGCAACATGTTCCTGTTGTTCCGTATGAAATTGCTGGTCTGCCTACTGGTATTGCTAGCTTCCATATCATATATAGTCTAACGATAACATGCTCCTTGACAATTGATTCGTGAACTGAATGTTCATGATTACAACAGGATAGTCAAACGGGTTTGAAGAATTCACAACCTGGTAAGGATCTCCTGAATATCTGTCTTCGTTCTCCTCATCTTCATCTATGCTATATGGGCTGATCATAGCAGGCAAGTCATCAAAATCTCTAAGAAGCTCTTCTTGTTCCTCTCTTGTTAAGGCGAGCATAGCAGCCATGTCCTCAACATCTCTTTCATACTCAAAGTTGGTCCAGTCATGTTGCCGTTGGGGGTCCACCTTAGATGGCTGAATAAAAGGACGGTCAGACCTCGTGTGCTTTCTAAGTTCTGAATAATTCCCAATAAAATCACAAGTCTCCAGAGAACAACTCCGTAGCTTGGAATTCATGAATTCTCGTGCAGGCTTCACTACAGCCGATCCATAAATTTTTTGATACGAACATTGTGATCACATGGTCATAAAACTCAAAATTAAGATTGAGATCTGATTCTAGAAAGTCGAAATAGGTCTGATAGGAGTGTGACATAATAAAAACCTATCCCAAAACACCAATACTATTGGATTGAGTAGAATGACGTCACGAAACCAGTTAATTTTTGATAAATTAGATTCAGTTTGTTCAAGAACTGAAAAATGCAAGAATCACTCTCACACGTTAAAACTGAAAAAAAATTCAGAAGAATGCACCAAACGATACGATCCAGACAAGGTCAAATTTGGATTTTGATATAAAATGTGCAACTATCCAGTTTTACGTCAACAATCATAATTCTCAATCCGACGGTTGGATCAAGGTGAAATGTTATGTGGAGTCTCCTGACATCTTGTCTTTCCTTTGATTAAAATTTCAGATCAATTAGAGTTCGAGAAGACATCTCAATATGGGTTAACAGAGGTTGTATTATTTTTGTTATTTACTTTCTTTTGACTTGTGAACTTCCTATTTGGCTAGGATTCTTTTTCTAAAAGGATGTGACAACTTATTTTAGAAATATACTAATTTTACAAGGATGTTTAATGGGCTGCAACATAGTTTTCAAGTGTGGTAAGGATTTATAATTATTTCAGAATTCTTTTCTTACGAGGATTTCTTATTCATCCCAGCCACAAATGGAAAAAAGACCTTAGAATACATTCTACCTTCATATCAGATTTCCTAGCTTATTTGGAACTTCTTAATGGTGACAAATCTGATTCTAGCATATTTAGGATGATAATTTTTGGATTTTTATTATTTTTATTATTTTCTTCTTAGTCTTTGGATTATTATTACCTTTTTGGGTCAATTGTAAGTGGACTACATATATATCCACTCAAAGGAGGTCCATTAGGGTTTCTTTTAAGTCTAGAGTCACTATAAATAGAGACATAACCAAACATGTAAGGAAGACAATTCAAATTAATAAAACTTCTTATTTGCCGCTCTTTGTGTGTGTGTGTTGGTGAAATAATCTCTCTTCCATGGTTTTCTAAAGAACTGAAAAACGACTTATCGAAGAACAACTGTCTTCGTGGCATCATTCTTATACTTCTCGTTCGTGAATCAATGTTTGTTGGGTGGAGGTTTTCGTTTCCAATAGTGCTAGTGTCTAGGTACAAGTTATTTTTGAGTCACACTCCTATCAAACCTGATTTACTTGGCTTTCTAGGAATTGATGTCTTTGGGATTGTATGACCATGTGATCGTGAGGTTCGCATCATTTCTCCTCGACAAAGAGGGCAACAAAGCTTAGGATGCAGCTCACTCTCATAATGCCCACTTTGCCCGAGCAGTTGCAATTCTTCCCTTGTTCTATTGGAGACAGAAGGAATTTCTTGCAACATTTCTGTGGATGGAGATGACACAGAAAACTTGCAGAATTGGTCGAGGCAATTTGAGTGGCGATAGCTAGTATTGCACATGTATGGCCAGCAACCTTTACCAAAAGAACATCGTAAGAGAACAGCCTTGTGGGGATGTTCCATGCAAATGGGGCACCTAATTTCTTCCCATTCTTTGGCATCCTTAGTCGCTTTCAGTGAGCTCCTGGGATTGCATATGGATTGTATGACCATGTGATCGTGAGGTTCGCATCATTTCTCCTCGACAAAGAGGGCAACAAAGCTTAGGATGCAGCTCACTCTCATAATGCCCACTTTGCCCGAGCAGTTGCAATTCTTCCCTTGTTCTATTGGAGACAGAAGGAATTTCTTGCAACATTTCTGTGGATGGAGATGACACAGAAAACTTGCAGAATTGGTCGAGGCAATTTGAGTGGCGATAGCTAGTATTGCACATGTATGGCCAGCAACCTTTACCAAAAGAACATCGTAAGAGAACAGCCTTGTGGGGATGTTCCATGCAAATGGGGCACCTAATTTCTCTTCAGCTTTATCACGTGATGGTCCACTGAGATGGGGCACCTAACATTCTTTCATTTTAGGACATTCTCATCTGATCCCAGTGAGCATTGGGGTTTACATTTCTCAGTGTTGTTTGAACGGCAAGGGTAAGGAGATGATTTGGACTGATCAGAAAACAATCGTTTGACTCTTCTATCCTTTGTCATTTTCAGAAACTTAGAATTCACCTTTTTCTTAGAAAGAATATGATCCCTTGATAATCATATGAAAATCATGAATTCAGTAACTTAGTTTAAAGCATGCTGTAAAGCAGTAAAAACTAGAAAGTTAACATGAAGGAAATAGTCATCAAATCCCAAAACCATTTGTTTATCCACAGAATCCAAAAGCAAGAAATGACTTGAAAAGCATAAAGCAAGTCCTTATATGCTTGTGTTAATGACTCCAGACAATTGATGGTATTTCTTAAATTTGTAGATTTTAAGGGCTTGATCATCACTACTAATGTCTTATAAAGTGCAGCATGAAATAATTATATATTCCCAAAATTTGTCCACCATAAGAACACAAAACATTGTAAAATAATAGTTTTTTTCCTCGGGAAAATCTTAAAATCAAGCTTACATCTCCTTTCCTTTGCAAATTAATGAAATACACCATTCATTATTTGCACTATAAGTGAAACATACTGACATTTTTGCAACCAACACTCGATGAATAGAATCTCAATCATACATACAAAAGCTAAGCAATTGATCGATTTAATTTCTTTATACAAAAACCTACAACGCATGTAGAAGCAGTAAAGATCCAAGTCGGTTCAACTGAAACAAGCGAAGAACAAGACGATTTGACTTAAAAATAATCATAAGACTTTCAAATTACTAGCAACAACTAACTATATCGATAACCATCTAGATAATCATTTAGTAAGTGACCAAAGTTAAGAACTTGATATTAAAAAATTTGCCTCTATATAGTTGTTAATATAGTACTATATCGATAACCATCTAGATAATCATCTAGTAAGTGACCAAAGCTAAGAACTTGATATTAAAAGATTTGCCTCTATATAGATTTATATTTAAATTTTATAGTTGTTAATATAGTAATTATTAAAAATTTATATAATTATTAATTTTAAGATATATAAATTAGTTGAAACATACATAAATTATTTAAAAATTTATATTAATAAAAAATATAAACTACAGTTAAAAAAAATTGTAATTCCGTGAGGATTTCACGAAGACATGACATCAAAAGCAACACAAAATCAAAATACGTAACCTGCCATCAGATTTTTATCAGGCAAACATTAAAAGACACAGTTCTATTAAGGAAGAAAGTCATGTCACCTGAAGATTCGGGAGAGACAAAGACAAGATGTTACGTTTCCTTGAATTTATAACACAGCAACAAGCCGCCAGATCACAAGATGTTTCGATCAATGGTCGGTGCAAGTGCAAAAGAACCCTCGGCCGAAGGAAAAGCGTAGTCGGTATGGCCCAGCCCAAATATTTGTGCATTTCAATCCCCGGCTTCAGGCCCAATTCTTGACCCAATAAGTAATGAAGATAATTGTTAAGACATCCTCGTTTTTGTGTCAATTCAGCAAGCAAGCCACTTTAAAACATATTTCATCAGACTTACTTTATATTCGTCCTATTTTATAAATTCAACCCAATAAGTAATAAAATGCCAGGAATTAAACCTATTGGTAGAGGCTATAATATTCTTGATATAACGATTCATTCCAATTAGATTAAATTGAAGAAATTTGACGTATAAAGAGTATATTTAATAAAATCAATTTTATAGGGGCTCATTTGTCAAACAGATACAAAAAGAAGATCCAAGTGTGATTTTCCGAAGTATTGTAAAACCCTCAAATGGAGACATGGTTAGAACTTAAAACCCTAGCCGGAGAGACTTTCGGTCCTTTTCTGTTGCCTCTCAGTTCATTTAAACCGGGTGGAAGATGCAGGTTTTGGTGAAAATGGTAACGGGAAAGACCCTGACATTGGAGATGGAGTCTTCAGACACCATCGACTATGTAAAGGCAAAAATCAAAGACGAGGAAGGCATTCCACCCGAACAACAACGCCTAGTCTTCGCAGGAAAACAGCTGGAAGATGGCCAAGCCCTTGCCGACTTCAGTATCCGCAAGAAGAAGAAGAATAAACCCCTCGAGCTTGCTCTGCTCCAGGTTGATGACGCTGATGCTCCACCAAAACAGCTAGGTAACATCATTTGATAGGAAATGCTTAAGATCGTTCATTCTTGGTGTCTGGTATTATTACAATAAGAGGAACCTGTGTTGCAGATGTCCAAAATCTAGAATCGGAAACACCAGTTGCCTCTACGAAAGCTAGAAAAACAAAGAAGAAGAAACGCGCTGCGTCTGACACAGGAGACACAATTGATACTGGTATGGATTGCCATACTGATGTTTTTTTAATTATAGTTACTGCTCCTTGTTTGTTTTGTCCCAATTCATTTGCGTAACTCACACAATACATGGCTCATTGTGTTTAGCACTAGAAAGATAAATGTTTTGACTCGTTAAGATGGTGGGTTTTTCCCTTGTTTATGTAATTGGATTTAGTTGAAGTATTCATTAACTTGATTAAAGCAGATAATATACAGCTCGAGCTAACGGTTTGCTCCTTAGTCCTGCTATGATACAGCTTATGTCCGCCATTTTACTGAAATATCATTTTTCTTTAATTTTGGTTCTGATTGGAGAAAGAGGATTTCCAGTGATAGAAAATATTAGGAATAGTTACTTTTCCTTGAGGGCAATTAGCTTTGACAGAAAACAAGTTTCATAAACTAAATAGAAATTAAATAATCAACAGTAAACATTTGGAGAAAGAGGATTATAGTGGGATGAGGTCCTCAAGTTTCTTATTGATTCCCATATTGAAATTAGCCTTGTAACTGATATCACTCTGCCATCACTGTACTGGTTGCTATCAAGCATGTACTTTTAGCAAAAAACCAGGTACCAAACCTGCTCCTAATATATATAGGCATGCACGCATGCATGCAGTCTTGCATGTGTGATGATACCGATTATTGTCAAATTCTTACATTTGGCTCCTCCTAGTGTCTTATCATTTTAGTTTGAACTACCAGGAGTGGTGGTGTGACCCAAATTTCTGGCTACTGATTGTGTAATTCTCCATTTTTTGTTTGGTGAAGTGGTGTTGGATTTTCTGAGATGTCACGTGTTATGGCAGTACTCTTCTTTTGTGAGTGTTGCTATATTGAATGTTTATATACGCTCACACATTCACCCCTCTGATATAGATCATGGTGAAGCCACTGATGGTGTCCTTGTTGAGCATGATGTGAATGAGCCGACCATGGGTGAAAAACTTGTTAGTATAACTTTACAAGATGATGATAAAACCAGCAGCCATGAGATGCAAGAATCACCTCCTAGCGCAAAGCCACCAAGTGCTGATTCAGTTAACATTCTCCTTAAGCAAGCATTGCGTGCTGATGATCGTGCGCTTCTTTTAGATTGCTTATACACCCAAGATGAGAAGGTTGTTTTCTTTTATTTAGATTTGTTAATGCTGAACTTTCCTTAAAGGAGGTTTTACTTTAGTGCTAAATTAATTGCTATTATGCTTCCCACGAACTTGTGCACAGCACATTCCTTTTCACATTTGTTTTCAGTTAGTACTTTTTTATCAAGAAACAAAATATATCGGTACATAACTCAGAATATTTTCTGTTTGCAGGTCATTGCAAATTCAATCTCGCTGCTTAATCCATCTGATGTTCTCAAGCTTTTACACAGTCTTCAATCCATAATTCACTCAAGGTGGGCAGTTACTTGTCTTATCAAGATTTGTCTGGTGAATCTGACAGATCATGTTGCGTTATCTGTCTATGATTTTTTTTTCAAATTTGTACCTTACAGCAATAATATATATATATTTTTTTCTGAATAACCATAGTTTGTGGATTTTCATTTAACACTTTTTAATTTCTGGATTATTTAAAGGCAGAAGCAAAAGTACTATTTGAATTCGACCCAAACATATCTTTCAACGAGGTCTTACGAAATGTGTTCTTGTTGCAGGGGTTCAATCTTGGCATGTGCTCTTCCTTGGCTAAGAAGTTTACTTCTTCAACATTCAACTGGAATAATGTCCCAGGAATCTTCTTTACTTGCTTTAAATTCCTTATATCAGGTGAAAAATGAGAACCTCACCCTGGAAAGACTCTGAAGAGTGATGTATAGCAATGAAAAAGTCTTTTTCATCTGAAAATTCATGTCCATTCATGCTTTATGAACTTTTTAATTGTCATTTTGGCCCTTCCCTGGATATCAAGTTTGTCTTTTGGAATATAGTTGAGACAATCAGATAATATTGGTTTTCCTTAAAAATTTAATTGCTGAGATTAGACTAGTCTTTGCTGAAGTTGTTTTGAGTTTCATCTACTGAGGTTATAATTGTTATATTGTGGTTTCGATGTGGTAATACTTGCGTTATTACATATTCTAGTGAATTTAAATTGGATAATTGCTATATGATTCTTCTTAAAGTTTTAATTTGAAGTATGTCATTGTTTATCAGCTCATCGAATCCCGAGTGGCAACCTTCCAGTCAGCACTTCAATTGTCAAGTTGCTTAGACATCTTCTATGCAGGGGTATTGTTTTTGTGATATCATGCAGTTAGTGAATCTGCAGCTTGTAATTATTGATAATGTGATTTGTTTCTTTCTTTCTGCTTTAAAACAGGTCGTTGATGATGCATTGGATGAAAATCAAATAATAACTCCTGTAATTTATGAGGACAATGATGAAAGTGACGAGGAGGAAGAGGAATCTGAGGATGCCATGGAAACCAATGAAGGTAGCAGGGAGGAGGAAGCACTTGATGGACTTAGTGATATTGAAGGTAGTGATGGCATGAATGAGTGATAGTGTCATTCAAGCACAATTTTGGTTGCCGCTTTGATAAGGATTAAGGGCTATCAATTTCAGTGAAGACGATCTCTTCATTCAGTCCAGGGGATCCTTTGACAGATTTGGAGGTAGCTACTGTAAGTTCACTTCCTGGGGAGCACAAGGATATTTGGGAAATCTCTTAGATGGCTAGAAGCACATATCGGTTTTTCTGTTGATGTGTGCGATAGAAACAGTAGTACACCATGGCTTCGACTCTTATCAATATTGTTTTCCTTTTGAAGAGCAACCTTTCCTTCTTGCTGCTCGCTGACATCTTGAGAAAACCACACCAAAATGTTGCATTTCCTCCTTTTCAAGTAATTTTAGAGAAACAGAGACTGCAACATCGTTTCATGTACTCGTGAGATATGATTTCTTTTTGCAAATTAAGAAAATAGCAGTCCCAAGTAGAGAGATCAGAGACTGAGTGGAATTAGATTTGATAATTTCTTGGCATCACTGATATTTTCGTTGCCCAGGATGATTCGTCTCTTTGGGTAGAGCGCATGTCCACCAGCGGTCTAATTTCTCAAGAGCTGTCCATTGCAAGCGCAGTGTTGACGTTGATTGGCAAAGAATAATAATTAACACCTGGGTTCTCCTTGCATGAAATTTGCAGGGGCGGATATAGGTCTTTTGTTTTATCGATCCCTGGGCATTAAAAATCAATGAAATTCCTACAAATAGCAGTTAGTTTGCTCAAATCTTCTGGGCCACGAAATTTCCCTAAAATCGGAACTCTCCACCTCGATGGAGATGAGAATTCTGGCTTGAGAAATTTGGAAGTGTGATTGTGTTAGTAGTAGATCCTGTGTTTGTTGCGTGGGTATAATAGTAATTAATATTTTTTTTCTTTCACTAAAAAATCCAATGAACTGGCTTTGAAGGGTAAAAATATCTTTTCACGGGTCCATTAAATTACTTGTTGCTCATAGAAGCAATAACAAAAAAAAAAAAAACCCCTTTTAGACTAGGGGTTTTTTCAACCATTCTTTTTCCCATGCACTATGTAATTATTCTTTTTCCTATGCACTATGTAATTATTCTGTCATCGGAAGCAAAAAAAATTAAGCTTGATTTTAGGAGCATAATAGTTATTTTATATTGTATTTTATGTAATAATTACGTGATTATTTAAGAGGGTGATTTGATAATTTAATTAAAAAAATAAAAAAAATGAATTAAGAAAGTAAAAAATAGACTTTGTTGGTGTTTTTTGATTCATAGAATTATCTTTCTAGATGATGTGTGTTCCTAAATTACTTTTGGTTTGATTAAGATTGACTTTCTTTTTTTATGTTTTTTTCTTGGTTTTTATACTTAGCCTTGCAATATTTCATATCAATTCTTTAATTTTTTTTTTTAGGATTTAGTACTTATTCTTTTAATTATTATTTTATGTTTATTTTAATTAATTTATAGAATTGGATTTTTTTTATTTTATTCTTCATCATCCTTTTATTTCATATTTGATCCTCGTTTTTTTAAGTTATATTTATTTTATTTAAGATAGTCTTTAATATTTTTTTATAATTTCATCCTCCTTCATAATATTTACATATAAATTTTTATTTAAGATAGTCTTTAATATTTTTTATAATTTCATCCTCCTTCGTAATATTTACATATAAAATTTTTCTTATATTTTTATTGTTGTTTTTTTTCTGCTTTGACAAGTTTTTTAAATTAATAATTTTTATTTATTTCATCTCGAGTATATGATTTAAAAGGTTGCAAACTGAAGAGCATAACTCATATTTAGAAGATTAGCTTGAGTTTATATATATAGTCATCATTTAACATTTAATTTGATTTGATATTAGACACTATAATTTATTTATTTATTTTTAATATAGGATCTTCACTTATTTTAAAAATTACTAGGGTTATCCTGGTTCTTTTTATTTGTTGTTCTTTATTAGATTTATCTTTTTTTAAAGAATATTTTTTGAGTTAAATTAAATTAATTTTTCAATATTTTTTTTAGATATTGTCTAGTATTTATGTCACCATTTGTATTTTTAAATTTTTTTTATGGATTAGACAAAAATATTTGGCCTGCAGCGTATCCCAAGGCAAATATTCATTTGTTTTTATTTTAAATTTATATATATTTTTTTATTTTATTTTTTAATATTTAATTTATTTAAAGATTGGGTTCCATAATTTTTTTGGCTGCTTTTTATACAATTTTTTTTAACTAATTTTAAAAATAATTAGTTATATGAGATCTTTTTATTTTTCATTAACTTTAACTTTTTTTAATTATATTATTAAATTAATTGACTTAATAAATCTGGTCAGTAAACAACAAGTCTCAAATTTTCCTATATTCTTTAAAAATACTAGTCATTTCATTGGTTTTTTTTTAATTGATTTTTATTTTTATTTTAGGCATTATCACGGGCTGAATGCCACGGATTATCAGTCTGTGGTAAAAAAAACTAGTGTCTACTAAACTAGTCCAAAAATCAGCGTAACAAGGTAAATTTAGAGGACAAAACCAAAGTAAATTACCAAGGTTTTCAAGGCTCATGTAAACATTTACGCCTTCGCACCACTACCAACTTATCCATATACAAGGTTTTGATTTTTGTTTCCCCTCAAGAGAGAAAGGCAATGATTCTAGCTCTCGATTTTTCACGCGAATGTTAACTGCTTCTGCTTTTAATTTTTCTTCCTTTTCTTTCCCTTAATGATTGATTAATCGTAAAAGTTCCTGTCAGTCCTGGCTTGATAACCTGATGTGATCAAGAGCAGCCAAATCATACAAAAGCGGAAAAACAAGGGGAGGGAAAACAAGATTTTACTCCATCGATCTAACAAAGTGAAAATCACGACGAATCCCTTCATGAAGACAGTACTGACTGTTTTATTTCTGGACTTGAAGCGTTCCAAGCCGCTAAACTTGGGATCTTCAGAAAGCCAAAGGGAGCCCAATCCAGCAGCTTGCCCAGCTAAGGTGATATTAAGGACTTAAAAAACATGCCCAAACCTGAACATAATTCAAAGGAGACCTAAATATGGATGTATCCCATGCACTTATTCGTACATTTAGCACTAATATTTGGTCTCCTTATAGGTAGTGGTGTGCTTATAACCAGCAGGATCTTCCGTCTCATCTTTCCTGGTATAGATATCCTCATCCTTACCAGGGCCACCCATCCCCAAAGTCTGCTTCACAGTATCCTTAGCGCTCTCGGCCATCTGCTTCACTTTCTCCCCAGTTTGCTGCATAACCCCCTTGGAGTTCTCCTTGCCTTCCTGGGCCTTCTGCTTGGCAGACTCGGTAGTCCCTTCCGTCTTTTCTCTGGCCTCTTGAGCCTTCTGTCCAGCCTTCTCTTTGGCTTGTTGAGCTGTTTCATACGTCTTGTCCTTGACTTCCCTGGCCTTTTCCTTCATGCTACTAGTCACTCCACCAGTCTTTTCCTGTTCAGGCAATAAATGCTTCAACAATCAATCAGGAAAGTTGCTGCCATTTAGCGAAAAATAAACTGATCATATGATATATATATATATATATATATATGTGTGTATG